CCTTTAAGGACCTGGAGGGCGGTACATACAGGCAGTGACAAGGCAGTCACATGATTGGGTTTACAACCAATCAGAAGCCAGAACAAGGAGATAGAGAGACAGACACACAGGAAGGAGGGCTCCTTTTTTCGGAGAGCTCTCTTGGCTGAGGAGGATCCCTGAATCAGGAAGGGTGAGGCTCTTGGCTCTGACCTCTTGGTTTTCTTCTCTAAATTGGCTCTGTGTTTCTTGTCTGATATCTACACTGAATTACATCTACAGAGTACAGAGTAAAAATATCTGAGACACATAAAAGTGCAGAATAATAGACATGGGCTGATTTAAGCTATAAGAACTTGTTAGGAACAAACCTAAGCTAAGGCCAAGCTTTCATAAATAATAAGTCTCTGTGTCATTATTTGGGAGCTGACTGGCAGGACAGAAAAAGACTCATTATACAAGTATACATTCTGTGGTTTTTAGTATATCCACAAGGCCTGCAGTCACCCTTATCTGATTCTAGCATGTTTTCATCACTCCTAATGAAACCATGCACCCACTCAGCACTCACTCTCAATTTATCCCCACCCAGTGCCTGGCAACTTCTAATCTTTTTGTTTCTTGAGTGTCCCATTCTAAGCATTTCATATAGATAGAATTATGCAATATGTAGATTTTTATCTGGCTTCTTTCATTTAGCATACTGTTCTCAAGATTCATCTGCAAGGTAGCATATAACAGAACTTTGCCATATGGTGTACTCATTCATACAACAAATACACCATTTTGTTTATTCATTTGCTAGTAGAAATTTAGGTATTATGACACTGTTCTACATCTGTGAATGTGTTTTGTATTTACAGATGATCTCTTTTGGGGATAAAGCTAGGAGTGGAATGGCTAGGTGAAATATGATTAACATGTTAAAGGTTTGTCCAGTTATTTTCCAAAGCAGTGGCTCTATTTGGCTTTCCCATTACAAGGAATGAGGGTGCCAATGCACATTTTCATGAAGTTTTGTCTTTTTGAATACTAAATATTTTGGCACTTTAGCTCATACATTGACATCTTTGACTCATTTTAAATTAATGTCTTTTGTTTACAGTAAAAAGCAGGGATTGAGGTTCTCTTTTGCAAGTGGCCAGCTGGTCGACCCAACATCATTGAAAGTTGTCCTTTTTTCTAGACTAATTTTCTTAGCAAACTTATAAAAAAGCTGTTGGAATTACAGGGGTTAATTTCTGGACTTCCACTTCCATTCCAGTTACCTAAGTTTTTGTTTTTATGATAGCATCAGGCTATCTCTATTATTGTATCTTTGTAGTGAGTTTCGAAATTAGGAAGTGTTAACTCTTCCAACTTTCTTATTGTCTTTCAAGATTTTTTTTTTTTACTGCTTTAAGGTTCATGAGTATCAACAGGGATTTTAAATCAGATTATCATTTTTCCACATGGCATTCTCACAGGGACTGGATTTCAGTCAATTGAGAAAGTATCTTTGTGATCTTAAGATTTTTAACTTATAAACAAAAATTTCCATTTCCATAGAGCTCTAAGTTTTCTTCAGTTTTGCTACAGAAGTATTGCATTTCTTTTATTTAACGTATTGTCAAGCATTTTATTCTTTCACACTACTAAGTAAATAGATGGATTTATTTACTTAGCTTCATATTTTTGTATAGCTCATTACTAGCCTAGGAGAAATGTAATTCTTTTTTATGAAAATCATGTCTTGAAACCTTTGTACAACTTATTTGACACTTTCTTTGTACGTTCTTTAAGATTTGCTACATTCCTGTCAACAGTAAACACCGTATCTGTATCCTCTCCAGTCTGTAACCTTTTCCTTTTTTTGGTGCTGCTGCTTGAACTCACGCATGTGCACCTGTGCCTTTACTTGTTTAATCACCTCCACTAGGACACTCTGTACAATGCTGAATAGGAAGCAAGAATCAATAGTCCTGACCTCCTTCCCCCCTGCCCGGGGGTGGGGTGGGTCTCTAGTACCATGTTTATTGTGAGTATTAGAGAGATGTTCTTTATCAGGTTGACTATAAAGGTTTTCTAGCTTAATATTTTTATTGTGAATTACTTGAATTTTTGTCAAATACTATATGCCTGTAGAGGTGGTCATGTTTTTAAAAAGATCATTTGTTCTATTAATATAGCATGACTTTCCTGGGGAGCTGTACAAAAAAAAGAAAAATCTATTCATTTTGTGATGCTAATCTTCATTGTCAAGGTGATAGGATCACTCTGAAGGCAAATCCCTGGGTATGTTTCTAAGGGTGTTTCCAGAGAGCTTTAACAGTGTGGGCAAGACCCACCCCAAATGTGGGCAGCACCATGCCATGTGCTGGGTAAAAATGAATAAAAGATGACAAAGTGAGCTGAGCACCAGCCGACGTCTCTCTGCTTCCTGACTGCAGATGCAATGTGAGCTCCTGCTGCTGTGTTCCGCTGCACGCCTTCCCAGCCGCTAGAATTTCCCTTGCTTTAGATATAAGAGCTAAAGTAGAGTCTTCACCCTTCCTTCCTAACTGGCTTTTGTCAGGAATTTCATCACAGCAGTGAGACGTGTAACTAACACATCCAGCCTTTTTACACTAAAAATACTAAAGAAAAAAAAACTCCTTTTACTGAAACAAACAAAAAAACAAGCTCCCCAAATAATAAACACACCATGGCAAAACAATATGGGCTATGTTAGAAAATGTATGGACCATGTTATTGTTACATAAACTTTTCCCTGTCAAATTAGTGGAATTCAAGTCAACAAGGCTCTTGTGCCTTCTATTACCTAGCCAGATAACATGCCATATGCTGCAGTTAACAGAGGACTCAAGCCCTGTCCATCTGCACTCCTCCCCAGCTCGAGGCACGCATAGCCTCCAATGGCCTTGAATCTGACCCTTCAGTCTACAACTCTAACATGAAAGTGTTGGCATTTACAGTCATACTTAGGGTAACTGGGAGTGGAGAGGGTATAAATCCATTTGCAGCAAAGGCCAGAAAGCAAATATGGGCCCTAAGGAGAAGTATGGGGTGAAATCCTAAGATCCCCTTTTCCTGCTTTCAATTACAGGGCAGACCACATGCTGCAGAAACTCCCAGAAGAAGGGTACATTGGAGCAAATCTGAGACCTTGCATTTCTAAAATGCCATCTTCACACTTCATACTGTTTCGTTAAGGTGGGCCATCCTACAGTCTGGAATTAATGGTGGCTCTGCCATCCGGCTTCCAGCACAGTCCTGCAGAAGTCTAAAGCCACTCAGACCCTAACTCCTCCACGGGGCCTGATTTCCTGCATTGTTGGAGATTTCCCTGGCTCTAGAGTTTCCTGGCTGCCACAGTTGAGGGAAACCTCCCTTGTCTCTGTGACGAAGGCCTCGTGGCTCATTCTGGAAGCTCACGGAAGGCGCTCCTTCCCTCTCGCTTCCCTCCCGGAGACTCTGAAATGCGCACCGCGATGTCCCGGTCGGACCCTTCTCTGTTTTCTCGAAGACTTCACTTTTGGCTTTCCTTTTCCCTCCAAAAATTCTCATCTCCAAGGTGACTTTTCTTGCTCTTCAGTTTAGTTTTGCTGCTGTTCATCTTTAGGTTACAGACATTATACCTTTTCTCCTCTCTCTGGAGACAGTAATTTAGGTTTTCAATGTTCTCCCTAGCGGGCTCTTATGAGTTGCTGTTTGGGGGTTTGTTCATCCATGCTAGAAGCTTCTACCAGCTATCAGGTTGCCCTTGATTAGGACAGAGAACTAAATACTGGCACAACCGGCCGCTGAAATGGGGAAGTGGGCTTCCATGCAGCCATGCAGCGCCATTAGCTGGAGATCTTCAAAACCACTGGCACTCCAGTCAGGACTTTTTTAATCTATGAGTGCAGAGATCAGGAAAAGCTTCCCAGGCAACGTCGTCATGCACGTAAGATTTAAAAGCCACCGAGGCACTTTACTGAAGAACTTAGATCCCCCAGAGACTCCATATGGCTTTGCTCACCAGGTTTCATTTTGCATGGCACCCTCCCTCTCAGCTCCAGGTCATTACTCCCCAGGCAGGGACTTCAAGTTTTGACTCCTGAGGATAAACTTCTAGGCTGTGGCGAGGGTATGGAAGAGGCAATGTAAAAGGGGTGGAGATATTATAGAGCTAAGCAGCTTTCAACCCTTTCTATTCTTTACCCTCACTTCCATGGGGAGACACAGCCATCAGTTTTTCTGCCTTCAGGACATTCTGCACCGAGAATTAGCACTGACTTTCCATTGGTGCTTATTTTCCATCTTGACGAATAGAGATTTTGCATTCCCTGGTCTGGTTTCCAAACTTCTACTATGAATAACCTTTTTACCCATGCTCTTGTTCTTATGGGAAAAAAAAATCCTTTACTATATTTTCTGCAGTGTCAGTCAGGTCCATGTAACATTTGATGGCTTGTTCAACTTGTCACTTTTCAGTCATGACACAGAAAGGGAGGTTTTGCACACACTCTCCCCCAGGGGCGGGGGATTACTAGTGAAACAACTTAACCATAATGATGAACATATCACCAGGCTCTGTTCCTCACCAGCTTAACCCCTTACCTATTGTGGTTTCTTCTTTCCTGTAGCCTCCTGAAGGACAACACTAGGTTCTTGCTGCTGCTGAGTGAGACCCAGAGAAGGAAGGGGTTCAAAACTGTGTGAGTTCATCATGGAGCAGGAAACACCCAGGACTGGGTGCTGCAGGCAGACCTGCACTCCTGACTTTTGGCTACAGATGAAGTATTAAGGCAGGAGACCGACTAAAGAAGTATCCTGGAATCTGAGTTACTTTGGGATAGCAGGGACGAGACCGAAGTGGGTGCTCCTGCAAGACCTCAGCCACGAGACAGGCGTCAGAAAGTATCTTGTACTACGTTACCTGCTTGGCCTCGCCTGCCTGGCTGCTCAGGATACTTAAACTGGACCTTTGGGGATGTTAAGTATTTAAGAGGAGCAACAATAAAAGTAATCTTATTCAAGGCTGAATAAACCTACTTAAATCAGAAAGAATTAAAACATTTATTGGGCATAAATATATTACATATACACTACAGATACAGTTAGGTATTACATATAGCATAGTATTTGCAAAATCTATACATTAAAATTGATATGGCAGTTTTAATACAACGTATATGAAATAATCTAAAATTTACAAGACAGGAAAACATGATTATTTTTTTCTCCTAAAGTTGAAAAGCTTGGAATGTATGTCCAACAGTGAGGTAAAACATTTCATCTTTCAATTTAAAGAACTGTGCAAGGATAACATTCAAACACATTCTATTAGGGCACTTTTCAATTTTGACACAAATACTGCATGATTGTAGCCAAAGAAACAGGGCTAGAAAATGTCAACATCTCAAGTTTGATAAGAACAAGGCAGATAATATGCAAAATATCCTTTAAAAAAGTTTTCTTGTTAAACATTTTCTTTGAGGACAAAGGGCGGTTTGCTTCAGATGACTGGATTTCTTGTGTCAGGGATGCGTGTGACATACAGAGAAGCATCAGAGCATCAGAAAGCCGCTCACTCATCCTACATATGGCAAAGGGTAGAGGGAGGTTAACAGGACTCTTTCTCTTACTGCTCCTTTGTGACAGCAATACATAGAGTTATCTATCCACAGCACATATACAGACTTGTGATACAAAATAGTGCCATGTGGAGGAATAACTTCCTGACTGAAGAGACATAATGGAAACAAGTAGTGGAGAGCAATAGAATAAAGTGCTGTCTGCTCGTGTGCCACACTTCAGCTTTTCTGATGGTCACGGGGCATGGAACTCTCTGGAAGAGCAAACGTTCACAGAGATTTTGGCTGGAAATATTATTTCCTTTAAAACCATTCAACCGATCCAGGGGATCATTTACAGCAGCAGTGCTGAAGTGTTCCAGAAGACTCTCCCCACAAATAGCTTGAAAAATTAGTCCACTGAATTTGCTTTCACCTGCTTACAATTGTCTCAGAAAATGCAGATGTAATGTCACAGTGGGTCACACGACACATTTAGATGAAAGATGAGTTTCTGAAGGCCAGAGCTTTGGCAAAAATATATTTACCTTGATACCATCAGTTTACAAGTCTAATTACACTAATTATTATAGTCAATAACAAAATACAGAGCTCTCTAGTACTTAACTACATCGATATAGGCACACGATAATGCATTGATCTTAGCACTCTTCCGAGAGATGATTATGGTGTTCTGGGTACATGTAAACCTTTCAATCACTGATAATGGGATTTTTTTTTTTTTTGGCATTTAATGAGTTAGATGCTCTTCTTATCTTTAAAAACACAAGAAAATGTCAGAAGGTTAATACTACAGATGCTGCCAGGGAACAAAACTGACCTAAAATTACAAAAGTATAAAACACACAAAATATAACATGCTATGAGAGCAAATTAGTACATAAGTACATTTAAAAATTTTTACAATAAATAAAGATTGCACTGTAATTGGCATTTAAAGTACTGTATGCAGAATATAGTATAAATAAACCCAAAACAAAATAATGTTGGTTTCCCCATGACTTTGGTATGGGAATATCATAAGCTAGTACAGGGTACTTACTGCATCATAGACAACACAGACCAAGAACAAACAGCTATGATCAAGAAAAACCAAGGAGCAAAAATATACAAACAACCACGAGCGCGGGGATCGGCTGTGTCTGTCGCTCCCTTTGGATACAGTTGCACCTCCAGCTCTTACGTGTCCCTGAGGTACTCGAACATCGTGGACTTCATGTGAGTAATCCGATGACTCTGGGTTAGAACTGATTATCTCACGACTCTACATGAACATGCGAGATAACACTTGCACTCCAATAGCACCGGTGGATCCAAGGTCTCAAAGCACTTACAGATACTGAATCCCCATTTGATTTGATTTGATTTGATCTGATTTCTCATGCATGGGAAAACAGGCACAGAGAGGTCACAGAGCAAGTGAGTGACAGACCCAGGAGAGAATCTTGTAGGCTCTTCGGCCCCAAACACACTGTGCTTACAGCCAGTTAGCACTCCCTCTCTACATGTGGCCGGATCAAGCCCAAAGAAACAGAAGGACAAATGCAGGCGTTCCCTCATGGGCTCTATCAGTGAGAATGTAGCTACTGCTGCATTAGTCTTACGGGCACTGAACTAAGGTGTGGAACTTCATCCACTTCACTGATACTCCGAAGGACAGCCAAAGGCAAATCTGTCAAAAAGAATGGGCCAGCATGGAAGGAGACAGCTCACAACTGTGAGGCATTCAACTGCCATGAGTTCTCGTCACACAATTCTGACGTCAAACATAACAGAATATAATAACTCTAGTGATTAGATTAGAAGTAGTTATATACAAAGACAGACAGGCAAGTTAAAGCAGCTCTTAAAGTAGCTGGACAGGAAACAACTAACTATTGCACAATGCCCTCTTAAAGTTACTGCTACGGACCGTGTGGGGATCTACAATGCTCCATCACTTATAGGTGCAAATTTGGTTATGTGATTTCTTAGACAGGCAACTCATAGTGTTAAAATCATAAGGGATACAGAGTAGTAACACATTTAGATTAAAGTACACACTTTGATTTCGATGAGCTAAACAGTTACATAACTGAGTGATGATAGGATGGTCTAGGTGGCCTCAGCCGAAGGCACACATGTTCTGTATGTTCTTGTGTGGTACCACTCTGACAACAGCGAAATCCCAGCCCTGAACTCCATACACTGTGATTCTGTTTACAGACAGAGACGATCAACAAGTGACTGTGAATATAAATTACTAAACTGGAACACACAAAAAAATCAAGACTTGCAAAAGACATCTGTGGAAACAGAATAGAAGCATAGTGGAAAGCTTGAAAACATAAACTCACTGGGCACTGGGCACACTGTGCTCACTGGGCACACTGTGCTCACAGGGCACACTGGGCACACTGTGCTCACTGGGCACACTGGGCACTGGACACACTGCGCTCACTGGGCACACTGCGCTCAGTGGGCACACTGCGCTCAGTGGGCACACTGCACTCACTGGGCACACTGGGCACTGGGCACACTGCGCTCACTGGGCACACTGCGCTCACAGGGCACTGGGCACACTGCGCTCACTGGGCATTGGGCACACTGCGCTCACTGGGCACACTGCGCTCACAGGGCACACTGGGCACTGGGCACACTAGCTCTTGGTGGCTGGTGCTTTCCTCTGCTCCCTTCTCCTCTTCTTATTTCTTCTTTTATTTATTGATTATTATTATTTTTAAATCCAGTTTAACCTCTTCCTAGTTTTGCATCTCAAATTGGTGCAGGCAAACACTGACTGTTTCCCCTAGCTAAATCTGTAAAACAAGAGAAGTATATAAATCAAAGAACAAAAGGCTTAAAAAGGAAGGCTCTGAGTAAATGTGTATTAAAATGTGGCATTCCACTCAGACCTCTAGTCTGCTGGGTTTACTTCATTAAGAAGTACTGTAATATAAAGGCAAATAGAATGGACAAGGTCGCGAAGCCCAGCACTATGAGGGCGGCAAACTGTTCATCAGTAGGCATCATGCCCTTCATTCTGGGATCGTCCACGCTCCCCATGTCGCCTGCCAGCATGACCTCATGTCGTTGTAACACAAAGGCCACAGAGGGGCTGAAAGCTCCACTGAGCTCCTGGGAGGTGTCCACACAGCGGCGGCATGCACACACACGGAATCGGTAGTCTGTGTTGCTCTGGAGGCCTGAGATTTGGAATGTGGATTCTTCTCCCTTGTACACCTTCAAAAAAAAGGAAAATTAAAGATGAGGAACTCAGAACATTGTGACTGCCACAGAAAATACCGTGTACACCCGGAGCCTTATGGATACCTGTTCAAATAAACCCTTAACAACAGCAATTATGTTCTTATGGAACCCCGCTTACTTGGAACAAAGTGCAGTATAAAATCCAATGACCTGACTTTGCCAGAAGTGGATGTACCTAATGTGTTAAGTGATACAGATATACAAAGCTATGCTTCTACAGTGCAGGTCGTCTATTAGAAGAGGCTTAGCACCCACAGCTCGACCGTCTCCAGACAAATTCATGCTGTAAACTGAAGTAATAATCACTGACCCTGGTAACAAAACACCACATCTCTCATTCCCTTTCTTTCTGACAACTGGCTATCAGACACACCTAATCTTTGGACACCGTGACACGTGATCTATGGAGTTCACACTCGAGTGTCAAAAAGCAAAACAAGGCCGGGCGGTGGTGGCGCACGCCTTTAATCCCAGCACTCGGGAGGCAGAGCCAGGTGGATCTCTGTGAGTTCGAGGCCAGCCTGGGCTACCAAGCGAGTCCCAGGAAAGGCGCAAAGCTACACAGAGAAACCCTGTCTCGAAAAACGAAAAAAAAAAAAAAAAAAAAAAAAGCAAAACAAAACAAAATGCCCCCCCCCCCAACTCTCATAAAGTATTAAGAAAGTCTGAGTGTGGTGCACCTCACTCCCGCTGTCCTCTGCCCCAGGCCACTGGTTCACCACATCTGCAGCTCACACATGCACTGCAGCCCCAGTCAAGATACATCCCCTGAGGGGAGCACCTCACGGACTTCCAGGTCTGCAACTTGATTTGTCTGTGGTGTAAGTTCACACATACACATGCACAGAGAGACATACACACATGGACAGAGACAGAGAGAGAGACAGGAACACAGATAGACTGACTTAGGATTCTTTCTAGACTCTGCATTGCATTGGTTTTCTTTTTCATGGACATTTGCTCCTAATTGGGAGGTTTTTGTTTTGTTTTTTGTTGGTTTGTTTGTTTTTTGGATGTTATGGATATTTTTGTGTAGATCTGAGAATTTAAGTTTTCATTTTTTTTAGAGCTAACACTGACAAGTAGAAAGGCTGGGTCTCAAAGCAGGTCTACAAGCCGTGGGGGGGATAACCACCCTGGCACTCACAGCACCAGCCAGAGCTAGGCGGCAGCATCTGCCCCGCTGCTCCACCCGCCCCAGGTCCTGCGAACCCCTCACAGGGTCCATCACTGCAGCGGCCAAATGGCACGAACCAGTGGCACCCCACGGCCTTTCCTGTGTCCATGGCTCTGCAACCTCTTCTGTGCAGACACGCACTCCTTCTGCTCTGGCTTGAAGGTCTCTCTAGAGCAGTGCTTCTCAACCTTCCTCAGGCTGTGACTGACCCTTTATACAGTTCCTCAGGCTGTGGCGAGGCCTGCTCTAGAATGTGGATCCAAGTCCTCTGACAGACATGTGTGCTATGAGGGTCGACTTCTCAGGAGTTGTGTGTTCTGTCTATCTGAAGATATCCTTCGATGCAGTTCAACATTAAAAATTAATACTGAAGTCCAGTGTGCTGGGACACACCTTCAATCCTAGCCATCCATGTGGTGGAGGCAGGTGGGTGGGTCTCTGTGAGTTTGGGGCCAGCCTGATCTACACAGGTAGTTCCAGACACCAGAGTTACAGAGTGATAGGCTGTCCTAAACAACAAACAAATCCTCAAACACACAACCAAACACAAACAAACACATGCAGCTGATGATGGTGTTTTTAGTATTCAATTAGTGTAACCAGTCTGCTCTTGCCCATTAAAGACCTGGGATTCTGAGATACACCCCGCTTCTTAGACCCTTAATACAGTCATAAAGAGGCTTACTATTTTAAGGATTTGAAACTCAGTTTACTTAGAAATGACCATGCTTCGAAAAGGCTGAACTAACAGGAGGCTGAGGAAGCCAAAGAAGGAGGCTTCGTGGAGAGCCATTTGTGAAAATGTCAAGGAAATAATACGTTCAAATGTTATGAAAATTAGGTTTAACAAATACAGATAGGGGTGGGGAGCTGCAACTAAACCCAGTTGGTGACATGTTTGGCTAATGAGTGATTTAAAAAGGAAGTGGCACTAACTGACCCTTCCTAGGTCACCTTGTGTCTCCCCTATCTTACAGGACAACCATTTGCTCAGAGAACTGTAGAGGATCTCGTTCACAGCACTTGAGCAATTAGCTGAAGGAAAGCTAGCTCAAAGACACAGGTGCGCACAGCAGCCTGTGGCCACCAGCGCCAGCTGTTCTTACGAGCTGCCATAAAGTCACCGGGGCCCCAGGCGATGCCTGTGCAGGGTGATTTCCCAAGGGGCGTTGAGACTGCACAGGTGGCACTGGCTGGCCATGCCTCAATCCCTCTTTTCTGATTCCTTCTGACAGGGGCCTCATTATGGGCCCCTTCTCCTGCCTCAACTCAATTTAAGAGGCAATGCTCCATTAAAGATTTTCTTATTGAAGTCACCAATCATAATTTTGCAAAAATAAGCACACATGTGGAATTACTTATTTTTTACAAAGGTTATTTTCGTTCTTGATTTGGTGCTATATTTTAAACTCATTTTGAAATGTTCACTCCCAACAGGAGGACATAAAGTAATACCCAGATAACTGCAGTGAAGAATCCAGGAGTTCCGCTTCAGAACAAGAAGCTGCATTGCTGAAATCCCTTAAACAATAGCTATCGGGGAGGGCACTGAGCACAGTGCATGCTGAATTGCTGTAGGACTGAACTCTGCATTTGTGTGTGTGTGTGTGTGTGCAAAAACAACAATGAGGTGCATGTATATAGACAACTCTTCACCCTTTCAAGAATGTTTTCTAGTAACACCATCAAAAAAATGTAAGATTCTTGAAAAAACAGTTTGAGCTTGGAATGTTGATGTGGCAGAAAGCCAGCCATATACATGCATTTGAGTGTAGAGTGAGCATCAGTAAGGATTTGGTAGGCAGTTAACAGAAAGCCAGCCATATACATACATTTGAATGCAGAGTGAAGTGTCAGTAAGGATTTGGTAGGCAGTTAATAGATGCCTGTGCAGTTATTAAAACAGGCTGCCAGCCCCCATCACAGTGGTAACAAAGGAGAGCCAAACCAAAGGGAAGCTAGAACTCAAACAAACTCAAGGTAGGAAAGGCACTGGACCTGCCTGTCTAGTGGAATCAACATCACTGTTCTCCACACCACTGCAGGTGTAAATTACCCGGTTCCCTGGACACTGCCTCTTCCATGCATGCAGGAAGCATTTACTGAGTGCCTGACTGTGTGCCAGACTCAGAAAACTAAAATCGAATCAGCCAAGCCCTCTTGTTAGCGGATCCTGTGATTAGCGCTGTGATGGAGGTGTGTGCGGTGCGGCACAAGAGCCTGGCTCGGCTGCGCAGTAACAATTACCTCCCATTGGCTTTGGCGTCGCCGCTATGAATCCAAAGCCTGCTGTCTATTATCCCACACATTAGACAAATAGCCTTCATTCCCTCCCTCATGTCAGGATGAGGGAGGGCAACACTCAAAACACCACATTCATGCTAATGCTTACTGAATAGGGAAAGGAAAGGGGAGAAAAGAAGAAAAACAACAAAATCCCCGAACCCAGTACAAACTGTCCCTGATCAGCTGTGTCAGCCATGGCTCCTCATGTCACTGCTGCCCTTATTCATTTCTTGGTAAATGTGGGAAATGTGTGGACATCTCTATCAACAAAAGCTGTCCTACGTTCTCGGTAATAATTGTCTATGGCATTGACAGTAAGAAAATACTCTATGGTAAATACATGATTGGACATCGTATCAGACGCAGCATTCATACATCTGTGGGTCTAAACATAGAGCACTGAACGGTGGGTTCAGAAAGGCTAAACTGATGAAATCTAAATCACTGCACAGATTAGTCTTCACTCTGACAATGGTGGACAAGGACAGAAACTGAACACAGAATGCTGCCCTTCTGCTGAGAAGCAGCACTCACTGTGCGGTGAGAAGCGGAACATTTTTTCCAAGAATACGTGGAAAAGCATGGCACACGGAACAAAAGGTTTTCAAACCACAGCAGTGAACGTATGATGAAAGTCCTGTTGAGAAATGAACCGCTGTTAAGTGTCAAACAGGAAAGGGAGCCATTGCTTAGCACCCTTGGCACTGCGGAAAGGGACAAGGCTAACAGCTAAATCTAGCTGGACAGAACTCTTTTCTGATAAGCTGAGCTTATCACCTGTGAGCTGACTGACTCTGGGACGGTAACAGGATTAGAACGAGACAGGAAGGGGAGAGGGAAGCCCAGCGGCTTCGCTCCCTTGTGAGAGGTATGATGTCATCACTGGCTCATGGGAATCAATATTGGCAGATGCCAGACTGAAGAAAGTTTGTGCAAGATGTGATTAAAACAATTCAGTCATTATCTGATGCTCCGATTAACAAAATGTATCAAAATGTCCAATAACTTCTTTGACATTTTAAGCACACTTTGTTTACAAGCATTTTAAAAATTATCACACAAAACACCAGCAAACAATTTAAGTGAAACGCTCACTGAATCAGATTTTCTTCTCTTGTGTGCATTTGAAGACTCAAAAGCTAAACCCAGCAGCCTTTACAAACAATGCCAACATTTTCCAGGACAGGCGACCTTCACCTTCACCCTCCTGAGTTCAATACCAATGGATTATGAAGAGTGCCAAGCGAAGAACGGACCTTACTCTTCTGATGGAGTAAACAATCATGTCCCAGCTTCACCAAGCAGTCGCTCTGTTCCAGGGGATTTCAAAGAAACCCTAGTTTCTGAACCCATTACAGTCAGTGACCCGATAAGGGTTATTCTGTAAGATGTTTAGAGGTGTGAAAAACAGTAAAACCCAATTCACTGTCTGACTGTGACCTATTGACTCTGACACAGTGGGCGGCCACGTCACCAGGAGCAGAGCCTGAATCCACATTTAGCCATCTCAAACCAGAATTTGAACTCCAACAGGTTTCCACACGATGGGTATGTATACTAAAGGGTGACAAGAAGCACCCCAAGCTTCTGAGTCAGAGGCCCTAGGGTCTACTAGCCACCTCCCTTAAACTCAAGGCAAGCAGCCAGCCTGACGCAGAAGAGCGGGCCATGCGCAGACACTGGGCCTTACCTGTTTGTACTCAGATTCTCTTCCGACCAATACCTGCAGAATGTAGTTAACAGGGTCGCCTTTCATTGGTGGTACCGTCTCCCATAGGATTTCACATGCGTTTCCTTCTAACTGTGTCACTCGAGGGGCTGCAATACAGAACCACACACCCAGCTCAAAACTCAGGCTCACATCAGCAGTCCATTTTCTAGCACTGTTAGTGAGACTCCAGGAGAATGCCGTGGTGCTTATGTCCAGCCTGAGAGGGAGCTTTATTTGTCCAGCTTCCTGCTAACCCTGCTGGGTAACCCTCAAGGAAGGGAAGTTACTCCAGGACCAGGAAGCCTATTCACTACACATCTCACTAGCTCATTAATGAGACAGTGGCCTGGATCTCAGCTCGCTTATTTATTCATCTATCTGGTATCTACCTACCTGTCATCCACCCACCCATCCATCAACCCACCCACCCAACCACCCATCCATCCATCTATGCATCCACCCACCCATCCATCAATCCATGCATCCATCCACCCATCCATCCATCCATCTATGCATCCACCCACTCATCCATCAATCCATGCATCCATGCATCCATCCATGCATCCATGCATCCATCCACCCATCCATCCACCCATCTATCCATCCATCCATTCATCTATCCATCCATCCACCCACCCATCCACCCATGCACCCATCCATCCACCCACCCATCCATCTATCTATCCATCCATGCATCCCCCTCCATCCCTCCCATGGCCGTTGGTCAGCTTTTTACAGCACTTTCCATGTGCTAGGTACTTTAGGGGTGGGGAAATAGAGATCAAGTCTGTTCCTAAGGACTCTAAGCTTAGGTAAAGAAGGAAAGAACACAGTACGGGGCGGGCACGGGAAGAAACCGAGCATGTGACCAACTAACACAGGAGGCATAGGTGTGCCAAGCGAAGACCCAGCCAGCAGCCAGCCCAGGCTTTAAAACCCTGCCCTGTATTTGTACCTTAGTTTGCTCATCTACTGGATCTATCATGACTATTTAAAGTTAAACTAGTTTATAGTAAGTTACTTAAAATCAACACCTCCCAACCCCTGCCCAGGCCACTAAACAGACCTCCAGCCTAGGAGCCAGAGGAAGAGCCTGGTTGTGGGGTGTCAAGGACCCTGCCCCCGGGAGGTAAAAGCACCACAGGATCCCTGCGCTATCCAAGCTTCTGTAGAGTGGCTCTTGCTAAGAATTACTCTGAAAGGCACAAGGAGCATTCCTGATGTCAGACAGATTCAAGGCTGGTAGCAATTGCCTCTGAACACGTGCTAGGCACCCCCGCCCCCAATCAATAAGCCACAGCACCCTCAGGTTCTGTCTTTTCTTTTCTTTCTTGTTTTTGTTTTTTCAAGACACTTTTTCTCTGTGTAGCCCTGACTATTCTGGAACTCTCTCTGCAGACCAGGTTGGGGTGGAAATCACACAGATCCGCCTGCCCCTGCCACCCAGTGCTGAGATCAAAGGTGTGCGCCACACGCCCTGCAAGTTCTGTCTTTTCTAAAGCCCAGAGGCAAAGGTGTGTCCAAGGGCTGGGCAGTTACTGCCACAGAGGCCTGGCATCGCACACATATGCCTTCAGGGCACAGACACACAGAGAAGTGACCAAGGTGCCTGCGAGCCTTGGAAGGAGTTACAACAAACCCAGCAGACCCCAGGCCAGACAGTGACCCAGGTTCTGGGGGCCCCCTATGTCCTGTAACTGACTCTATGCTGTATCTGGATGTAGGGAGCCTCAACTCCTTCATGTGGAAGCTGTCTGAGGGGCAAATACAGAGGGACCTTCTCCCTAGTGAGTACCCCCTCTCCCCACAACACACCCCAACATCAGGGCCACTTTGGGCAATGGCTGGCTGAGACAACGCTGCTTTGGCTAAGGAGAAGTTCCAGGGACCTGTATAAGAACATGACTTCTGGGTGAAGGGAACAAGGCTCAGGAGCCCACGTGCAAGTTTGGCCTGCTATGCAAGTCTGCCCCCCACTCACCCACAACCCCAGGACTGGGGACATGGCAGACTTGGAGCGCAGGCCCAGCGAGAGCGGGTCTGTCCCCCTCCCTGAGAAAGAGGGAGATTTAGGTATTTGCTGTGACGGCACTTCTGCAGGGTCTGAGTCCTCCAGGGGAAAGCCTCGAACACGGCAGGAGAAACACTGATGGTCACTGCCATGGGTTTCTAAGAGCATCCTCCATGGAGAGGGTATGTGCCCACAGGGAAATGCTGATGTTACCTGAGTCAGGCTCTAATTTCCAGGCACCGAAGTCACCCAGAGATGAATGCCAACCTCTGAGTGTCTTCAGGGAAGGAGATGTGAGAACCGTTTTGGGCAATCTATCTTAAACTACCTCTCACTCATTCCTAACACAAAGGCTGTCACTCATATCAGTTCCTTGTCTATTACATAGGGGGACGAGACTATCTCACTAGTACAGTATTTGCAATAAACATTTATACAGAATGCAGTAGTCCATACATACAGACATTTACTCCAGATCCCACCACACAGCTTTCTTTTTTGAGAAATTTTGATTTCATCTTGCTATTAGAAATATAAAGAATGCATTTACGGTTATAACTGACTTTCCTGCGTGTGATTTCAATGCATTTTATCCTCCCAGGACTGTGCAGCGGGGTCTATTTGCACACACCTTTGAGCGTGGGAGGGACACTTTTGGTTGTGCTGAAGGTGTAGGTTTCTGAGAAAGGTCCTTCCCCTGCCTCACTCGCTGCCTGGATTCTGAAGGAGTAGCAGGTGAACTCTGTCAGTCTCTGGACCTTGTAGGTGTGGCTGGGTCCTCTGTAGATCGAAACAAACCTAGGTGGAGAAAGGAGTGGAACCCATTAGTCACGAGTTTCTTGTTTGGATAAACTGTGAGGAAGACTCAAGGGAAGTCGGGGCTACCTGAGAAAGCCCCTCCCATCTGAAGTGACAGCTGTATGCAATGCTTCAGTTCACTGGTCAAGGATGTTTATAGACAGAAAACAGCAAAGCACATGCAAAGAGCACAACCACGGTTCAGAAACATTGTTGTTCATGTTTTTATTTACCGATAAAAAGCAGAATCTTCAAGTGTTCCATTATGGTCAGTGGTAACTCACCTTTGATTATGTTCTTGGCAATGAAGTTACTGTCCACTGGTCACTTGAGAAATAAGATGCCTATTTACTCAGATTTTTCAAAGAACAGAAGTTTAGGAAATCCTTTAAATGTTGATCTTTGTGTATACAAGACCTCATAAAGCCCTTTCCTAAGCTGGCAAAAAGACATCTATGATTATGTATCTGAGAAAATACACAAAAATAAAAAAAGTACTGTGTTCAGAATTATCACCAGGGTCATTAAAATAACAGAAAAAATGGCAGGGACCAGCTGGGCAGTTTTGACTGGCAGATTTTGGTTTCTTCTATCATTTGGTCTGAAACTATTTTATACTTCTCTGCTAATTAAAATATCTTTTAAATCTTAATTTATTATTTGTGTGTGTGTACGGGAGCACACACAGAAACCAAAGCAATCCTCACGTCTGTACAGATGGCTCTCCACACCCTCCTTCATGTAAGTTGTTTAGCAAGTCTGCCTACTGACTGAGCCCTCTAGTAAGACCGTGAAACATAATTACCTGAACTATGAATTAAAAAAACAAGCCTTGTACTTTAGAGATTTTCTCAGTGTATCTTGAAAACTTAACTTGTCTCCTCTAGAGAAACTGGACTACCTAGAGCTACAAATATACTCTTATCACTTAATAACTGATTTTTGAAAACAATGTAATTCTCCAAACGTTCTTCAGTACTTAAACCTCACTGGCCCAGGAACACCCCGAGAACCAACACTGAGTAACTCCAAACACATGGTCTTGGTCCACACATGCCATGCCCGGCTATCAGCGCCCAGAGTTCCCTCAGCATCCAAGGTAGATACTCCACTGTCTTCAGAAACTACTGGAAGGTACTCAGTGATGGAATCATCATTCAAAACATCTGACCAGGGCTAGTTTGGCTCAGGGAGGAGAATTCTTGCATTCATTTGGCAAGCACTCCTAACAACCGGGTGTGTGCTGGGCTCTGGGTTGCTTGAGAACCACCCTGAGGGTGTTGGGCCTATGTGAGGGTAGGGAGTTCTGAAGGATAGTAGCAGCTTCGCTCTGTGTGGAACAGTTCTAGATGGCAGGGTGTGGTGGATCCAGGTAGTAAGATGTGGATAGACTGAACAGCTTGAAGAGAAAACCCCTGCCAGCCAATCAATCCTCAGTGTGTAACATCCAGCCACTCACCAGCCTTTGTAACTGAGTTCCTAAGCCCTGGCAGGTTCACTTATGGTCCTGCATGTTCTGCTTCAGGAGGAAGTGCCTTTTATTGAAGGTTGAACATCATTAATTTCAAGGAAAGCCAGAGTCCAGGTTGAAACCCACAAATAACCATGGCGACCTACTTAGCACGCTCAACACATGACTGCTTAATGAAGACGGCCCGGCTAATGTAGAGACAAGTGGCTACTTATTAACCCAGCTCACCTGGGCTAGAATCGCCAGCGGGAGGGAGGAACTGCCCTTAATTGTGTCACAGACGGAAGTCCTGGTTTACCAAGGGCCACTCTCAAATCTCCATTACGGTGTCCAGCAAGCTCAGTGTTTAAGAGTTTGTAGAACTGTTTCCAGCCCTGCCACACTCCAAGGATGGCACTTCCTTTAGAAAATAGGTTTGATACATATTGTGCCAAAGTTCAATTATATACCGAGGTAGAAGTACTCATAGCCACCAAGAAATTCATGGAAGCAAATTCAGTAATCTGATTTCATACTATGATCCAAACTGGGTAAGTAGCACGCTCCTCAAACACCAAGCGGGACACACCAACCAGCATGTAGGAAGAAGTACACACACCGACACACGAAAGGCAATCCTCGCTTGCTGTCTGTCACCCCTCAGTTTCTCACTCTAGGAGGTGGGAGACGACGGACTTTTTCAGAGCCAGGGACTTATGTGGCCACGCTGGGAGTTAGGGCAGGACATCAAACCCATGGCTGGAGCCATTCTGGGGAAAATTTAAAATACTCAGCAAGTATTTGCTCTAGTAGACTGACCTCATCTTCTTTCTTTTCGATCTTCTTGTAAAAGGCCAACTCCATTGATTAAACAAGCCAGAGCCCCCGTGATAGAATTAACCATACCTGGGGTTAGAGATTTAGCTCAGTGGTAGAGTGCTTGCCTAGCAAGCGCAAGGCCCTGGGTTCGGTCCTCAGCTCCAAAAGAAAAAAAAAGAATTAACCATACCCAACATTCCAAGGGACAAAGACTGAAGACGTCCCATTTTAAATGCACCGAGCTGTAAGCAGGTGGCATGGTTCCTGCAGTGCAGTACGTCTCCATGATGTTCTCAATCATGGTTAGGCATACATAGCCCAAGCATTGGCTTCTGAATCGCAGCTCCTCAAAGGTGTCCCAGAAGTCCTAGTCCTACACTGGCCATATCTCTAAGGCACCTTACCTCCACAGCCAGACTTTATGGCCACGATGAAGCCCCACAGATAGCAAGCCCAAGGACTCGCCAGGGTGGGAACACATGTGGGCCTCTCTCCACTGTAGCACTATGCTGGCCTGTTGGTTCTCTCTCTCTCTCTCTCTGTTTGTGTGTGTGTGTGTGTCTGTGTGTGTGTGTGTGTGTGTGTGTGTGTGTGTGTGTGTGTGTCAAACAGAATGGATAGCAAGGATGGAGTTCTATTGGCCAGCTTGGGCTATCTAACCAGGTAAGCTATTTCCTCCTTTGGGAAAGGGAGCAACAGAATTCATCTTGTGGGGTTGCTGTGAGAAAGAAATGAGACAAAGGATACTGCACTGCACAGTGCCTTGTGGTTATGAAGTATTCAGTGAACACTAGTGTTGAAAACGATTTAGTATTACCACCACTAATACTGTTGGTGGCAAGGCACCGAAGATAATGAACGATTCACCTTATTTTCCAAAGTTGGAGAAACGAAAGATGTCCCCACAAGGGCACTCCTGTCACCTCGATTCTCTGAGGCTTCTGGAGTGGAGCAGGTGAACACCCTGCACCCTATTCTTGGCAAGCCCAACCAAAGCACCCACGGTGAGAGCCAGAGGCCACTCTGGGATCCTGGGGCAGCTCACCATTTCGAGACAGGGTCTTACTGTATAGACCTCATGACCCTAAGACTTTAGGCTCCCAAGTGCTGGGCTTCCAGATTTGGACAACCAGGCCTAGACTGGGTAATTTGACTGAGGAGGGAGGAAACTAGGGAGCAGTCTCTCCAGTATTAAAAATACACATTTGGGAAAGGAAGCAGGTTAGCTGGGTTGTTAACAGGTTATGATCTAAGTGACTTTGCAGCAGTTCTGTCTCCAGCCCGGTCAGGGTCATCTCTGCAGGCATCTGGAAACACAGCAGCCAGATGACGACAAACACGTGTGGGACCTACAGTTGCCAATGTGCCAGTGACATGACTCGGCAGTATACGGTGGAGCCATGGCCTCCTCCGTCACCCAAACCCAGGGAGACACGTGAACAACAGTGCGGCTTGACTAAAGGCAGGCTAGACTTGCTGTGGCCCGCCGACTGTAACCCCTCTGGCGGGCTGAGAAGGGGGGCTGTGGATGTGGGCAGTGGGTCTGCAAGCTCTCGGCACCGCCTTTTCAGTTTGGCGGGAACCTAAAAGAGTTCTAAAAATAAAGACTACGAAAAGGTACTGAGAAAGTCCTCCACTCGTGTGAACATAAGAGTTTCTGCTTATTCTGTCTGTCTGTCATAGTCCTCCGGGGCTAAGGTGGAGAGGGGCTGTCTCAGGAGCACAGAGGCATGCAGAGACCTTGGCCTCAGTGCAGAACTGGTGACCTTTACCACGGATTCCAACAAGTCAGACGAAGAGCTCAATTTCCAGACCGTCCAACTAACAATCGGGTTTACTTGACAGGAATTTTTATGAGATCTAAATGAAAGAATCAAGAAAACTCTCTGAGAGAAAACACACCATGAAACAAAGAGCAGGTTCTGGACAGTCTCAGCAAAGCCCCAGTGAGAGCCACGCTCTTCTCCCCAGGGTCTTCGCCTTTAACATTCATTGAGAAAGGTGATGTGTTTGCACCAAGGGCATCTGATGGGGTAAGTTCGGCCACATTGCATATTTATGTGTTCTTTCATTTGGAACCATTGGGGGGAAAGAGAAAACGATATAGGAAGAAATAACCAAGAATGCTCTGAATAGCTTACTAAGTTCTTTGTGCAAACGAGACTTAATGTAAGGGTTTTCGCTCTCCCCCACACTGCTCATGTCATCTTTAGGCTCACTTCAGTTCATCGATATTAACTACTCAACATGACTAACCTGCTGGCCTAAAATGGCCTGCAGTTCACAAAAGGCTTCAAGTGGTACCCTTCAAAACACATTTCACAACAGCATAAATCAACAGCTGCCCAAAGATTAAGCGTGGCATATTCATGAACAACATTATATCATCTTATCGTCTTTCCCTCTCTTTTTTCTTATTTTCTCTGGGCTCCGTGTGTGTGTGTGTGTGTGTGTGTGTGTGTGTGTGTGTGTGTGTGTCCTATGTCACTCAAATCATGTTTGGAAATAGAAGATATTAAAAACATGGACAGTAAATGCCCCACTGTGCCAGGAACACAGAGTCCTACCATGTCTGTGCAGGAGCAGATGGACACAGATGGCACTGTGTGGGGACACCTCGGGCAGGGAATCCATTTCCTAGACTGATGCCGACACTGGTCAGAGTCCCTGTTTATATGAAAGTGAAAGAAGCTATTCCCAGAGGACTGATGGGAAAAGCGCTAATTACCTT